TTAACTCACTCAGTGTTCTTCCATACGTTTGATCAAACAGTTGAATTAATGAGGAATAAAAAAAGATTCAGGTATGTGCACCGAAAGCCTTCAAAAAACTCGTCTGGATTGTTTTCTCAGAGCTTCCTTTTTTGTTTAAACGTGGGTCGCGTTTTTTCTTTTATAACAGGGAAGTGCTTCTTGTTCTTGCTCGGCTGAACTAGTAGAAAGCTCAGCTCGTAGACCAACTGAACACTTCCGCCACAGGATTCGGATACGGTTGACTTACGTTAGGCGATTAGGCAGGCTTAAGCGGTTGGACTATTGACGTCGCACTGTTATGACTAACCAATTCAGCCACATTCAGACTGCTTATTTGTTCTGAGGCCCAATGCTGAAAACCGTGGGATTCTAACCAACGGAACGCGGTTTCGAACCTCGGGAGGGGCTATGACTGGCCGATGACGGTTGTTAAGGATGAAACGGTCCTCTCCCCTCTGTCCGGTAGTACTTTTCTCCACGGGGCGATTGGTGAACACCCCGCAAACACTGCTAATATATCTGATCACAACCGAGAGGACAAAGAGGCCGTGCATAGTGGATAGGACGTCAAACCTCTTACCAGCAAGTCTTGGGTTCTAGCCTCGTGTACTGCAACACTTAGGGTTGGGTATGCCTGGTTGATGATGGCTACTAGGCCAGAAATGTCAATTCCAATCTCGCTGTTTATTAGCCGTCATCGTCCAGACGTAGCAAGTCCCAAGTGTAGAGTGCCTGGGATTCTAATCTTATCTGCGTCCCAGGAAATTTATTCCGAAATGTGGAGAGTCCTATTGGAACGACGAAGATTTCTCGCGTAGGTTTTTGAAACGGTTACTGCTGCATTGCCTCTAGGAATTGAAAGCTATTACTTGCTAACCAGGCGCCAAATATGCACAATATGACATTATTGACAAAGACAATGGCGGCTAGAGTAGAGTAGGGCTAATTAGTTATCCTTAGGCAGCCAAATTCAACCACAGGTTTAGAGGACCTGAGATTTGAATCCGAGATCTTTAGTCACTGAGTATAACGCACATATTTCTCCATTCCGTTGTCCGTATTTTTTACCCTTGCACGCTCTTGCTTTCTTCCAAGTTTTAGAATCCTCGCTCCCGCGACTTTTCTTTAATGTTGCTGATTCCATCCAAAGATCTCACCCTATCTAGAAAATATATGTGGCTCTTTCTGTCCGAGGCCTTTTATTTTGTATTATGAATAATTTTAGATATCAGAATGGGCAATTTACTCTTTTTTTAAGTCTTGATAAATTTATTTTTTATTTGTGGCCTTCAGTTCGCTCTCCATAGTTATTTCCAGACATGCCGCATTTTAAACCTGCATAAAGATAATCATATCACACTATAAATGCAGCATCTAAACATCGTGCTTTGTTACTTATTTCCCACTGACAAACTTGGCCGCCCGTTTAAGACTTTACTGACTGGCAACCCGTGGACTCCGTTAGGTGCTGCATTCCTACTCCTTACGCCCTCGAGCCAAGCTCGGGTTGGGAGAAAAATCGGTAACCAGGGCTTTGTTACAAATTGTTGGACTTTAGAGCTGAAGTTTGAGGTTGTATGCATCTTGGAAAGGTATTTATTATGTTAATTCGTTTCTCTCAACCGAACATATTTCAGCTCTCATGTACGCGAGCATCTTCGGTAATGTGAGCGCTATCATTCAACGTCTCTACAGCGGTACGGCACGCTACCATGCGCAGATGTTGCGTATCAAAGAGTTCATCCGTTTCCATCAAATCCCCGGACCGCTGCGACAACGCCTGGAGGAGTACTTCATTCACGCGTGGGCTTATACCTGCGGCATCGACATGACCGTCGTACAACGCAGCTTCCCCGAATGCCTTCAAATGGATATTTGTATGCACATTTATCGTGGTCTGCTGACAGGCACTCGCGTCTTTCACGGTGAGTAATGCGGGGGGGGCACTTCTTATTAACCCTCCCCCCTCTTTCTTATTCATGTATCATAATGATTGATACCTTACTGGGCTAATAAGTGGTGCCTGTGACATTTTTTGTCTGTTTGTTTACTGAAGAATGGCCTTGAGCTGCAATTAAGTTTTGTCTAAGTTCCGCAAATATTCCCATGGTTAATATTAGAAGTCAGTTTATGGCAAACAATTGTTTTCAGCAACTCTTCATCAGACCAAACATTTGCGAGGGAAATCAACGCTGTACATAACAATTTAAGTTTGAATTGGTGGAAAACTCAATAACTGTCTAACACGGGCGCTGTTTGGCCAACGCGGACTATGTCAGTTTGCGCATGTA